TTCTTACCCATTGGATTGTGCATTGATTGTGCTATAGTTTTAGGTCTAGGCAGAATCCATTTAAACCACATGAAAAGGACTGAATGGTTCCCAGCCTCTGATGGTGCTGAATGGTGGGATCTGGGAGAGGAGGATTTGTCATTGCACATATACAATTCCAACAGCTGAATTCTTTGCTGGAGATTCTGGCTTGGTTGGCCCTATTGTACTACAGTTATGTGAGATGTGACAGCTGGCTTAGCTCCTTTTATCAACCTTTATTCACTATCTCTACTAAAAAGACTTAGCTAAACCTGCTTATACACTTTCAGTTTGGAGAATTGTTAACCTAATTTTAAAAAATGCACTTTATTTGTAGCCACAGAGATTGGAAAAAAATACATTTAAAATATGAAGGAAAAAAATCATAATATTATTTTACTTTTAGGTTGTGATGGTTCCACCTACAATGTATGTAATGTGCAATATATACAGCAACTGTCATGTGCAATGTGATATAATTTCTTTGACTTTAAGTGACTCTGCCATTGTTGGCCCCTTTTTGAAAATGCTGTTTTGATGGCTGTGTCTGGCTTCAGTAGTTTCGAGTCATCGATTCACAGCAAGCATTCTGTAAACCAGTGTTTATCTCTATAGATTTTTCAGGTCAGAGATTTAGAAAGCTTTAAAACTCAAACATCAGCATGAAAGCCAAGGAAGCAACATTGAAGAGGCGATCAGCAGTGGCATTCCCCATACTTTTCTCATGACAGAGTCACTTTAAAGTGCAACTGAACCTTTTTTTTTTTGTTTTGGATAGAGTGGAGAGGGGTTAGGACACCTGTTGTTATCACTGAAAGGGAATGTGAAGGAAAATCCCAAATTGTGGGTGGTCATCAGAACAGGAAAAAATTTGGAAATTTTCCAATGGAGACCCTAGCTCTGGTGACTCTGCTGACCACCAGGGTTCTATCTCTCTTTGAAAGGATTTCTTCTCACTTCTGTTATGGTTATCAGGCAGGAAGTGAATGGGAGGTCAGGTGAGCTCTGTACCCCATAGTTATGTTTGGAGGTCAGGTGAGCACTGTACCCACAGCTGGCATGGGAGGTCAGGTGAGTACTGTATCCCATAGCTAGGTTTGGAGGTCAGATGAGCTCTGTGCCCCATAGCTGGCACGGGAGGTCAGGTGAGCTCTGTATCCCATAGCTGGCATGGGAGCAGGACCTGCGCTACCGCTAGGCAACAAGGTGGCCGCCTAGGGAGCGCTGCTGACTAGGAAGCAGCCGGCCTGGCTTCCTGCAGACTCTGCCGGAATGCTGGAGCGTCCGCACGCACTCAGACAGGCACAGTTCCTTGGGGCCACTTGGGAAAGCTGTGCGCCCGCAGCAAGGAACTGTGCCTGTCTGAGCTGCCTCTGTCCTATGTGCCTCCAGCTCTGGAGCCTCAGAGTGATCACTCCACCGCTGCACTGTGGATAGGCGGAGTGATCTCTCTGAGACTTCGGAGCGATGAGGCATCTGCAGCGTCTTGTCCTCCCACCTTGAGTTGCACAGTTGCTCGGTGGGAGGCGGGGCATCTTCCGAGGTATGAGGCTGAGCAGGCTGTGGCACTATGTGTCTAGGCAGCAAAGCCCTTCTTTTATCTGACTTGCAGTCACTTTTTATTTAAAGGGTTGCAATAAAACAAAATAAAACAGAAAACCGTATTATTCTGCATTGCTGTATAAAGTATTGCTGGAATTTGTATTCCTCCTTAACTGACAGTATTCGGCATTGCTGTATAATGTATTGCTGGGATTTGTAGTCCACTATAGCTGGCGGTATTTTGCATTGCTGTATATGGTATTGCTGAGATTTGTAGTCCTCTATACATTTGCAGAACTACCAGGGTCACATAGTTGCAGCTACGACTGGGCCCTAGCATTTTGCCATTTGGGGGGCAGACAGGAGGAAGGGGGCCCTGGTAACTGCCGACATTGCAGGTTACCAGCCCCCTTTCTTAATCTGGGGCCCTCCATCCTTCACACTGTGCCTGGATCATGTGTATCACAAAGCTCTACAGCAATAAAACATAGTAATGTGCCGTGTGGATGACAGACCTATTTTAATGAGAGTAATGTGCCATGTATTGGTTGGCAGAGATTCCATTCCAGCACACAAAAGTGTTAGGATGTGTGTAAAAAAAAAAAAAGACACAATTGCTGTTATATATAACAAACAAATGCAATGTTATATATTACAAAATTCTGTTCTGTAAGCCTTATTTTCTGGCCGTGCCCTTCCCAAGACTAGACTTTGGATCCGCCTCTGAATCAAGTACCCTAACTATTAATAATAATGTATCTTATTTGTGTATCACTCGGCTGTAGATCCACACTGTCCTTCTTTCTGGAGGGTGGCTAATTTTGTTCCCCATGGTCCCTGTGTGTGTTGTGAAGTAGCCACCCCTCCAAGCTCACTCCTGTGATGTACTACAATCTCATGTTTAGTGTAATAATTTGTATTGAAATTGTAGTCCATTATGGGAGTGAGTTTGGGGTGGTGGCTAATTTACAACACACAGGGACCATGGGGAACAAAAGGAGCCACCCTCCAGAAGGAAATTCAGATATTATTTGAGGATCTACAGCTGAGTGATACACAAATAAGCCACATTTTATTAAAAGTTAGGGTACTTGAATGCATTTTTAAGATATAACTCTTGAGTTAAGTGTCACTTTAAGGAATAAGTCATTCTTGTATTGATCAAAAATAAATATGTTGATTGCATTCAGTGCTATATGTTATATAATGGTTATTGTCCACTAAATAATTGTTTCTTGCAATAAGTGACTGATTTCTGTTTTGGATACTTTTAGTAAGTTAGAACCTTGCAGTGATGCAAACCCATTAAACTGTAATATGACACATGTTTCTAAGAGACAAGCTAGTCTATTATGGACATATTTTATTTAAATAAAGCTATTATATTGTGCAGTGCTTTACAGAGTTCAGTAAGCCATTCACATCAGTCCCTGCCCCCAAAAGGAATCTACTCTCCCTACCACAGTCACACGCTCACTTATATGCTAGGGACAATTTTGGATAGAGGCTGGATAAACCGTAGCAGACTGATTGTCACATTAGTTGAAAGGATTGTAGAACTATACACACAATTTCAGTGCATTACTGCAAGAATGTCTTTGTGTATAGAATACAAATTATTAAAAGTAAGGACTTCAAGGAAGCTGATATAGCAGGAAAACAATATGTTACAGTAGAAAATGTTTACTAGACATGTAGGCCGGCCAAAAAAAAAATTGGTTTTGGATTTTTTATTGTTTCGGGTCCAAATGCCGTTTCGTTATTCGGATTCAGATGTTTCGGAATCTCATTTTCGTTTGGGATGGGTTTTCTGATTGGCCAGAAATCAGTCACAAGTCTGATTTATTTCCATTCGGAATGAAATTTGGATGATCCAAAATTTCGTTTAAAATCATTCGGATTCATTTGCATTCAGCCTCATTGGAATTCAGACATCCGAATGTCCGAATTCCCTAAATTTTGTCCGAATTTGCATTTGGAATTAAACGAAATTTACATGTCTGATGTTTACTAGTAGTATCAGATATAGTCTGATAGTCAATCATTCAGAAGTGTATGATGACTTCCCCCTTCATCTAGCCAACTCTTTGTGTTCTGCCCGAACTTACCTTACCTTACCGCTACTAGCTGGATTAGTACATACGGCAATGTGAAAAATGAAACTGTTAAATAGTGGTTACAGGAGATGTTTACCGCAAGCTGGAAAATGTCTTCAATCATTCTTGCCCCCAAGGGCAATCACTTGACTCTGAACAATTTCCAGATATGTAAGGCCCCATTCAGATGGGCAATCTGGGGCGCATAATTTGCTGCATTCAGAGGCAGCTAAACTCAGCAGCTGCATTCTGTGCTACCGGGTGCATCAAAATGAACGTGTAGATGTGGCCAGTTTGTGTGCGGCCAGAAACTCTGCAGATATGTTGTCCCTGCACACAAAACATCTGTCTCCAGGGTCGCTCAGAGGCTCTGCTTTCATGTAACCGCTTGGATCACCCGATTATCGCTAGCAGCAACTCATGTGAGCCTTAAATTCGAATAGAACCTCTGACCGATCCTGGACGCAGACATTTTGTGTCCAGGGAAGGTAATTCTGCTAAATCAGCCTGTTTGTATGCAGCCAACACACAGAATGCAGTTGAGTCCAGTTGCAGCCTCTGAACGCAGGAAACTATCCCCCCAGATTGCTTGTCTGAATGAGGTCTAAGTGTATGGCCAGCCATAGCTGACAGAAAGGTAGTAACTCATTACTGATTACTACTTGATAACTGAGAATGACACTGGAAAGCTTTCCTGGGAAGGATAATGATGAGTGGGGGTTGTGCGAGGGCTTGGTTTGTTAGCTTTACTTCTTAGCTATCCTTTCATCATTTAAGGAAATGAGTCTAGAGATTACAATGTCCTCCTCACAGGGTGCAGACACCTGTATTAGCAAACAAAGCACATGTGAACATTTGACACTTTTAGATCCAGGTAACATACTAGATTCCCCACATGTCCCAAATGTTAGCCAACTTTCTAAAGCTATTCATGTGTTTGTCACAAATGGCTGGCACAATAGGGAAAGGATAACAAAAGCATTGAATGCAGAGGTTGGACTCCCCTCGGAGGGCTCAGCAATGTGCAATCATTCCAAGCTTTATTATCACTCAAAGAGTTAAGGGAAGAGAGCACACTCCTCTGCCTAAGGAAGTTAAGTTTGGCCTGGGTAGGAAACAGCCAGTGCTGCTCTGCCAGCTTGTGCTGCAAGTGTCTCAGGTGACAAGCCCTCAGGTACACTGTAACATGACTTCATAGGGAGGAGCTATGAGCTGTACAGGTGTCTCCCTAAGACAGGTTACTAGTGCAGGTACAGCTGATCACTTGTAACCAGCGCTGACTCATTCCATCGCTGGAATCACAGACGTATCAAAGAAAACGGCTGCTTTGGATGCCTGGCCATGGACACCAAGGACATGAGTGGGAAAGATTCTGGAGGGATCAAGAAGAAGAATCTAACCTTTCTCAAAAGCAGGCTATATATGTTAGAGAGGAGGAAAACGGACACCATAGTAGAGCAAAACACGAATGGGGAACATGGAAATTCAGGAACTCTGCGCAGGAGTCAGTCCGACAGGACGGAATATAACCAGAAGCTAAAAGGTAAGAAGGAAAATAAAAATAAATACAATATGTGAGCCTTAGACAGACAAAATGTGAAAGAGACTTCAAGATTTGCGTTAGTTATTGTCTTGCATGCACCAGATGCCGCAGCGACGGTTACTTCTGACTTGTGCAATGTTACTTTCAGCAGTGTGCTAGGAAAGGAACATTTACATTTCTTATGGAAAGTGAACAACTGAATAACCAGCGGCAAAGGATTGGACAGTATGCTGTAAGATCTGTGCAACCTACTCAACACTTAGCTACATCAGTTACATGACAAAACTAGCAGCACTGTAATAGTTTGTATTGCTAGAAAAATCCAATATATATTTATATATGGCCATCCTTAGGCCTCGTGCACACGGGGAGAAAAAGGCTTCTTTTATTGGCATTTTAGTTTTTGTATGCCTCTGAATGCAGTTCTTTTTCAGCTAATGTGTCGATGCACATTATGGCGTTTAAGCTGCTCATACACTAATATTTTGTTCATTCAACCCGGGAGCTAAATTAAGAAAATACAACAGATTCCTCCATCAATGCTTACAAGTGTTGAACGGGGAATCTCCCGCTGTCTTCACTGTATTCTGACGGTGGCTGATGGCCACTGTAAGACTATATCTGAACAGAGCTGGAAGCTTATTGGCTGCTGGCTCTGTTCATTTCGAAGATTTTCCAACCGACTCCTCCGATCAGCTGATCAAGGGATGTTGGCTGAATGGGCGATGGGTGCGAATTTCAGCCGTTTCTTTAAGAACCAGCTGAAATTTGCATAGTGTATGGCCAGCTTAAGATCTGTATTTTAGAGCAGCGTTCACGGGCATTCAAAAAAATGCCCCAAACCTGCATTCAGGGAGGAACTTACTGGCATAATTTACATACATACATGTAATAAATATAGCTAATAGAGTTAGTTTATGCACTTACTCCACTAAATGCCGTATGCACATAACTGCAATTACGCATCAAAAAGCACATTTAGCCTCTGCCAGAAAGATCCAGTGTAGTTGGAATTTTTTGAATACGCTTGCGTGCATTTGGAGCAGAACCTGGACAACATATGTATTTAAAATGGATGAAACTTTGTTATCCGGCTCATTACATATACTCGTTTAATCTGCCGTGTATAGTGAATTGTATTTACTTGGTATTACTGTGATCAATGCTGAAATTATAACTGTGTTGCCTTTAGCACTACAGAAGTTTGGGCCACATCTAAAGCACAATCTGGCTCAATTGTCAACACTTACAGAATCAGTCCGCTTCCATCATGCAGCATGTTTATTGTTGCCGAGATGATGGATGGCTGGATGTGGCTGTGTGCATAGTAGGAGTAGCAGAATTCTTGTGCCTAGCACCATAGTGCTGACCTCACTGCATCTCATCTTCCCGCCTGTTGCTTTTCCCAATCTCTCTGTTTCCTGAACCATGTTAGGTTTGAATAAATTATTGCTTATTCCATTGTTTAGGAATTATGGATGGCCTAACTCTGTATTATTAATTATGTAGTTTTGACAGTTTTGTGTTCAACACTTCAAACTGCTCCAACTGGTTGCAGTTACCCAGGTATAGCATGCGTGTGTGTGTGTGTGTGTTTGTGTGTGTGTGTGTGTATGTGAGAGTGGAAATCAAAAACAATCAGTTCCATTTACTGTTATGTTTTTGGGTTGTTCTAGGATATAATTTTGATATTTTAAGTTTGACTAATCCATGCATCACTGTACTAAGATGATTTTAGCTGTGGAATCATTTGCACCATATATTCCAATATTTTTGGGTCACCTCTGGCACAATGAGGACTTCATTATGGGATTGGATACATCGGTTGCAGCATTAGTTTGTGTCACAACTGCTTTTCTACCCATTTCGCAGGAATGCAAAGTCAGCTGGCAACATCTCAGAAAGAGGTCAAAAGCAGCTCGGAAAGAGATGAGAAGTATCAAAAGGATTTTAGAAGCATTTAAAATGCAAACTTTTTTAGGGCTCTTGCATATGGGCGCTGGCTCCCATACAGCATAAATGCTGGTATAGTCCTGGTGGCAGAGAGCCCCAGGAGCAGTGTGCAGCCTCACATTAAAGTTAATGGCTGTACGCTGTTTTTGGTGGGTATATGCTGGCACTACGTAAACCTGGGCATGTGCATGGACAAAAAATCTCATATGCAGACTGACGACTTGCATCCGTGTGCATGCATGGATTGGTGTGAAGCAATTGATGTTAGTGTGATGCTGTACGCTGCACGTGAAGCTCTCTGCCAGCAGAAATGTGCTGGTATTTACAGTGTAGTGAATGAGATACCTGTGTGCAAGAGGCAAGAGCCCTTAAGCTGCAAGCATGCTGCATTTGCCCATCTAGACAAGCCCTAATGCACGCTTGTATGGATACCTTTGTATGAGCAAGCACTGCTGTTCCAAAGAGATCACTAGCACTTCAGGGCTCGTTCACACCAACAGCATGCACTACCACACGGGCGCTGGTGTGCGCTATGAAGGTAGCAATGCAATGAGCCAATTACTGCACATCACACTGTTTACCTTTTTTTGTTAATTTATTGAAACATCACAAAGACATTTTATTAATTTGTATTCACATCAGAGCGTGCAATGCTGTGTACTGCATTGCAACATTGCACTGAAAGAAATTACTGCGTGTCCTACTTTTTTCAGCGCACACCACCGCAGTATGGTGGTGTGAACTGACATAACAGGTCACGAGGCAAATTGCTTTGTCTATGCATTGGAACTGCATTGGGTAAGGCTGCTCAGCGCAGCCCGACGCATCTGATGTGAACGGGGCCCTTAGTCTACATTATAAGGCTAGATCAGGCTTTTCATACTGGAATAGTGAGATGCTGTGATGTAGATCCACTGCAGTTCACGTAGAATGCCATTCCAAAGTAATAGAATGCATGGCACAACCTGTACTTATAGCCCTAATTGTGTCACACAGCCCATTGTATTTGGATATCAGATTGAGAACATGCTGTACATACTAGCATCACAAATCATGCAAATAATATGTCAGCTTCACTCTGTTCTACATTGTGTTGGATTTTAACGTAGACAGATGTATTGGTCCATTGGACAAACTCTCCCGTGTAGAGACCAGTGCCAGGCATTTTTTCAAATGTACTTTTGATCTAGATCAACCTTTCTCAACCAGGGTTCCTCCTGACTTCTTTAGGGGTGCTTCGAAATTTTTGCAGTGTCATGCCCTTCCTTTGTGCACGCTTCTGATGTGTAGGGATCCTCTTGTGAAGTAGGAAATGTGGTGTAAAAGGGGGGACGGACGGGGGACTACGATATAAAAGGGGAGTTCTGATGTAAAGAGGCAACTCTGACATGAGAGGGGGCTCTTGATGTAAAGGGAGACTCTGATGTGAAAGTGGGGAATCTGATGTGAAGCATTGATGTAATGGAGGACTCTGACATGAGAGGGGGCTTTTGTTGTAAAGATAGACTCCGATGTGAAAGTGGGGAATCTGATGTGAAAGGGGAACACTGATGTAAAGAAGGACTCTGTTTTGAAGTGGTGGACTTTGATGTAAAGGAAGATCCCCATTTGGTTGAGTGTCCCCTCACCTTAAAATCCTACCAGATCGTTATCTGGGATTTTGGAGGAGCATTTAGATTTTAGACTGGGGTGTTTTGAGATTTAGCAACTTTTAAAGGGTGTCCTCATTGAAAAAAGGTTGGGAAACGCTAATCTAGATCCTGTGTATATGTAGGTTAAAGGTAGCAATATCTGTGGGCTGATGTATCTGTCATAGGAGGGGCCCTGACAGTTGTATATAAGCCTGAATGACCTGCGGTGGTAATTTCTGGTTGAGTCAGCCGTGAGAAGCAATGCTCTAGGCTATATAGCAGCATGTAATATACTGCAATAAAACTGCTGCCCGGTGAGACACCAGCTCCTGGAGTGTGACAGTGCTGTGTGCATAGCTGAGCCTTCCTAGCATAGCAACAGATCCATGGTGACAAAGGACTGTCAAACTATTTCCCCAGACCAACAGTGAAAGCCAAAGATGTAATTCACCTACTAGCCAGACTTTAGTGTTCTTTTATGTGTGAACAGTAGCCATTATACAGTGAGTTGCTCTCAGCGCTTACAGTCGTCATAAAACATACATGTTAGATAACTCATATGGAGATATAAAAAGCATAAATAATACCTGTGTTATCTTTAAAGTGTATCGCTTCTTAGGTATTTTTTTCTGTCTGTGTCTTCAGTGAGGAGATTCACCATGAGGTGAAGGTAGCCTATTCATTTTGAATGAGCTGTCAACACACCACAATGTAGGTTTGAAGGCACCTTCAGCTTGTTTCTCAATGTCACACACTACAACAGACAGATGGTTCACAAAAGTATAGTATAAAGTTATCCAATACAGGCTTAGATTTTTCTCTTGTGCAACCCACAGGCTTAATGCGAGGAAATTAATCAATACCCTCATTTATAATATTATTAGAGAGGACTTAAAGAGCGCCAGCAATTTGCGCAGTGCTTTACAATATAAAGGGAGGCAGTATAGTTACAATGCTAGTCAATACAAGATGGCAAGGCGGGTCCTAACTAGCTTGCACTTCAGAATCTACACTAAACTGTGTGGATGCCGAAATCTCCACTGGTGGCTATTGAACATGGCACTCCTGGCTGCCTGAATACCCTAACAGTGCAGTAACTGGTTAAAAATTTTCCCTCCACCTCAGTCATTTTTAAAATAAGATTTTGTCGAGTTGGGTGGTGTTTGCCGGGCCACCTACAGCTTGAATTCTAGTTAATTCAACGGAAATTAGCCCCAATTTGGCCATCATAATGGGGGACAATGAGCATTTCCAACAGTGAGGATCACTCAATAGCAGCTGTTATCCTAATCTATTCCCAATCATAGCACCAGGCTGTTAAACTAGCACATAATTCGGCCATGATGGTAACCACATTGTCACAGGGGTTGATCAGTGTTATCTTTGCATTGTTTTACTGCACATCACTGTATATAA